TCATTAGGTTTTTTCCTTTCAATTTTCCTTTCAAAAAGTAGAGGATTGTTAGGGCTATTATGTGATTAATTTAGCTGATTTTATATTATGTATCTTTTAAGGAATCAGGAAATGTAAGTTTAAATAATATTAGGGAAAACAAATTAATAAATATTTCAATAATTACGAGGGTCGTTTGATAAATTTGGTAAAAAAGCAAGTAAAACACATTGTTTTGGAAAAAACAATCTACGTTATTTCTCAACATAGTCTCCATTGAGGTCTATACACTTGGTCGAACGAGATTCCAATTTTTTAACTGTCGAAAAAATAGACTGTCTCAAAACTTGCAAAATACTCGTTGAATTTCACGGAAATTTACCAAACTTATCAAACGACCCACGTATATTATTAACATTAAGAATTTTTAAGGGATCAATATTTTTTCAGTGTTTTTTTATAGGTATTTTATTTATATAAGGATGAAAATTAACTTGTTAACATTCAATAATTTGTATAGTAATACGAATTTTTTTGCGAAATTTTATGTACTTATGTAATACGAAATTTATGTACTTTTATGTAATACGAAATTTTAAATGAAAAATTTAAAATACAAATTTATATATTAAGCTATTTTTTAGTAATATGAATAATAAATTTCGTATATTTATGAATTTATAAGTTATTTTAAATATAAAAATCGAATGATTTAAAATAGAATTAAGAATGATATTAAAGAATAGATATTAAAGAATGAATAGAATTTATAGGAAAAGATTTATTATTAAAATTTCAAAGAAAATTTTAATTCAAATAATATTTTTAAATAATAACTTTTCGAAAATTTATATATTCATTTATTTATATATTTATGGTTTTAATTTAAATAGTAATTTTTACAAAATTTATGTATTTATATACTTATATATACATTTAAGGTTTTAGTTTAAATTATAATAATTTTTATATAAAATTTATATGTTTATTTTCTTATATATAGATGTTTGTGTATTTATGTATTTAAAGTTTTAATTTAAATAATAATTTTTATAAAATTTATATATTTATATATATTTTGAGATAATTTCATTAATTGTATTTTATTAATTTTATTTATATAAATTTATCTAAACAGCTTATATTATTAAAGTTTAATATCGAAGATATTAAGAAAATTATTTTTTTTAGATATTTGTGAATATATATTGAGTGTATATAATATTGAATATAGTGAATATTATGAATATATATTGTATTTATATAATAGAAATATAATTGTATGTATTATAGAATAGAAATTTAATTGTATGTATTATATATATTGTATGTATTATATATATTGTTTGTATTATATATAATTGTATGTATTATATATATTGTATTGTATGTATATTGTATGTATTATGTATAATTGTTTGTATTATATATATTGTATTTATATAATAGAAATTTAATTGTATGTATTATAGAATAGAAATTTAATTGTATGTATTATATATTATTTTTATAATAAAAATATAATGTTTTATTATTAAACTGTATAAATTAAAGAAATAAAATGAAATAAATCATTAAAATTTTTAAATATTCCTTTTAAGAAATAGGATAGTAGTTTGTTAGAGCTACTCCATATAATGCTCCTTATGCACATTCCAGGGACTTGCGCGTTGGAAGACTAAGGAAAGGCGCGTGGGGTTTTTAGTTGGTAGTCCCTGCCGTTAAAATGGCGGCGGGGAGAGCCCAACACTACCCCGACGGGACCGCTAGATAGGTCCCGGCGGGGTGTGCATAAGGTGCATTTTCCCCACGTAAAAAAAAAAAAAAAAAAAATTGTTAAATTATGTTGTATTACAATTTCAAATTATATCATATTATATTTTAATAATGAATTTCAACAATGAATAACATAATATCCGACATGAACAATACCGTGCTAATGATTTTGTTTTACGGTCTTGTTATGCAAATTTAAATTTATATACTATATTGCAAAATAAATGCTGCAATTGTATATATTATATTATATATAAAATTATATATAATATAACCCTCCCATGGGGTACACCTTGTCGCGGTGGGAGGGCTTAGTACTTGGATGGTGTCTTGAGATTTATCTTAAATTTTTCTATTTATAATAAATCTTAAGGTGCTTGAAAGGGAAGCTAAGTACCCTTTCGCGTCGTCGGTGCCGTCAACGTGCCGCGGACGGCTGCGCTTCGTAACCGCGTTTTCGCGTTATAGTATTATCGCGTTATCGCGTTTTCGCGTTTTCAAAATCCCAATTTCGTTTTTGTCAACGAGTCTCTCCTTCCGACGCCAACTAACTGGGATGTTTCATCGAGTCGTTGCTTTGCGACGTACTCGCGCCTTGTGCAACGTGGCACTTGGTGATGCCGGCCGCGCAGAACGTATGTCCAGTATAAAATGTACATGGGCGCGCGGGTTCGATGCTTCGCGCTCGATCGGCTTAGTGATGAACACGCTCTGCTTCGTCAATTGATTTGGCCCGAATCGGTTAGAACTCGATCGATTGTTCGAAATGGTCGTCAATGGGTCCCTTCTCTTTGCTCGTCTACCTTACAGCCACACGCCTAGCGTGTGTTAACCCTGTCGAGGAGTCGAGTGGATTCCCCTAGGCACGATTTTCGCTCGGTAAAAGGGGTTGCCTCCCCATTTTCTAAATTGCTGAATGTTAGCTTTTAAAAAATGTGGGTATCCTCTTCTTTTACCGTCTATCAGCCTTGTGTACTGCGCTAGTGATATAGCATCCGTGCGGGTCACTTGAAATCGTGCTTAGCGGGTCCAGGTTCGATACGAGATAGGATAATTATGCGCGAAAAAGAGCTGGTGAACTTTATTTTCCTCTATTCCGTCAATCGTTTCGTCTTCTTTCCGGTTCGGGCCTAATCTTTGCTCGTTGTATCGTTGCATTCCCGACCTGTTGGCTCGAAATTGATTCTCGCGAAATGAAATGGGATTTTCGCTCGTACCGAAACCGGGAGTGTCGGACAAAGTATATATATATTAAATATATACATCGCGCGACAAAATTTTTAATCATACCGAATTAGTGCGGGAGTGCCGTTTAGTATCGCGCGTAAAATAACGAAAATAGCGATATAAAAATATCGCTCGCGAGTGCGGGAGTGCCGTTGAAAGTATCGCGCGTCAACAACATGAGAGGAGGAGGAGGCCTGGGAGAGGCATCTTGCATCGGCGGAGCAACCTGATGGTGAATATTTATTATTTGTATATCAATTGTTATAAATCGTACGCATAATAATTCGATCTTATTATTTAAATGAATTTAAGAGAAAATTAGAGAGAAAGATTTTTATAAAAGTTATATAAAACTTTGTAAAAAACTTTCTTGAAAAACAGTTTTAAAATTTTATAAAATTTTTCCACACGTGTTTATCTCTGCTTATTATTTTACACATCGGATATAAAATTCCGCGCGATAAAAATTTTTTGAAATATTGATTGCATTTTGTGAGCATTAATATAAATGAATTTTATATTTGTATGTTACAGACAACTAGCTTCGATAACAACAACTCCGCTGTTGCGCATCAGTGCCGGTGAGTGAGAAAAACTTTTATTTAACTTTAAGGTAACGGATTCGTAGAGATTGTAGATGTAGATTGTAGATTGTAGATTGTAGATTGTAGATTGTAGATTGTAGATTGTGAATTGTAGAGTAAGTCCGTTGCCTTAAAATGGATGAGCTAGGATAGATTAAATTAAATAACTTTTAATAAATTCTTTCGAAATGCTTTGCATCTGTTGCGAAAATATATTGAAGTATTAATTTAAAAAAGAGAATCAAGAAAAGAAATTTTTTTTTGTAAAGACTTGACTAGTTTATTAAATCAAGAGCACGCATTAATAATTTTAACAATTTTATCAATTTTTGATACTACTTTATTCTTATAACGCGCACTTATTTTATTCTAATTTCTTATATCATAGCTCATCCATTGTAGAATTTGTTTGTAGATATTGTTTTTAAATTTTACTTTAACTTAAAATAAAGCCAAACGATTAATTAATTAAATAATTTGTAATATCATAAAAGTTATACACATACATGAATTTTATATTTTATTAGTAAATATAGTATATAGAAATTTGTAGTAGTATTTTGGCTTAATTTGAGTTAAAATAAAGTTATATTCAAATATTTAAGAAACGATCGTAAAATCGAGCGATCGTTACGATGAGCGTGAAATATTTACGCTCATTTGCCGGTAATCAATCGGCAAAAGAAGGAGTGTTTATCTCCTTTTTCGATCTCTGATTAGAGATCGAGCGAGAAAGTGGCCAGAATCAACGAAAAGTAAGTTCAATTGGCCTGAAGAAAAGCTTTACGTACAATAGTACGTAATGTCGGACATGTATTCACGCGGTTAGGGCATGCGGTTAGAGAATGTAATTAGGGCACGTAATTAAAATATACGTGATTAGAGATAGGCTTTCCTCGAGTAATTTCGCTTAATCGAGAAATAGGATTGTTAGAGCTATTAGTTGATCATTAAGATTCTTTAATTTTCCATTCAAAAAGTAGAGGATTGTTAGGGCTATTATATGATTAATATATTATGTATATTCTAAAGAAGCGTCATACTATATATACATATATATATTATATGTGTGTGTGTTTATTTGCGTATGTGTAGAAAGAGAGGGAAAGAGAGAGAGAGAGAGAGAGAGAGAGAGAGAGAGAAAGAGAGAGAGAGATAGGACCACCAAATTTATTTAAAAAATTAAAATTAAAAATTTATTTATATTTATATAGGTATGCGTTTTGCTATACAGCTCTGATGGCATTTCGTGTACATAGGTGTTTCGTGTACTACAGGCATTTTTTACATAGCACGGAACAGAATCAGAAATTGTGCACATATATGTTACCCTCTGAGAACTTTCGTGGACTTTGACTTTGTAGTTCATGTCCACGTTTTTTAGATTAACAGAGGGCGTATCGCTTTCAGGGATCACCTAAAAGCGGGCCGAGAGCGGGCTTGTCGTTGAACGCGGGAGAACGTGCCTTCTGAAAATTTGGACGGAAATCTGTTCTTTATAATTGTGTGAGGTGTTTCTATCACCTGAGAGTTATCTGCGTGGTTTGTTTCGGTGTTTTCTTTTAAGATTTCACCGCTCTCGGCTAGAGTTTGAGGAAATATTTAAGACTATAAGCGAGGAAATAATAGATAACCTCAATCCTCTTTCTCAAGGCGGGAGAGAGTTATCTCTCCCGCCTTCAATCTTTAGAATGTCTCAATGTGTGAGCGAAAAAATGGAAAGCGAATTATCTGATATGCAAAATATAACGCATGATCAAATGATGGAAATAATTTTGGATAGATCAAATCTTAAAAGGCAGTATTCAAGTATGTCTGAGGATTCCACTGCGTCTCCAAGGTGGGACCAAATAAAGGATAAACCAGTGACATCAACTAAAAGTGATTCAAAAAAATCTAAGTCAAAGAAAATAATGTAGATTCGTCACAGGAAGAGTCCTTTCAAAATAATGTAGAATAAAGTAAATGTAGATTCGTCACAGGAAGAGTCCTTTCAAAAAGCACCCAAATCAGCAGTGTTAAATATTGATAATATAATTAACAAGAGAGGAAATACTCAAAATAAAGTTCTCGACTCGGGAGACAATACATTAACTAATAATTTTTGGTATGACCGATATAATAAAGGTCTATTTATTATTTTTGTTAGAAAAATGGTTGATAACAAATCTAGATCCACTTCTATAATTGAAGCTTCTAGGTTATTAATTAAGGCGAATATCAAATTTGAAGAAATAGAGCACCATGCGTGGAACACGTGGAAAATTTCTTTCAAGTCTTTCCAAGATGCAAATTCTGCCGTCCGAAATAAGCTTATATCGGATATTTTGGATTAACTCTATATATTCCCAAATACAAGATTTTTAGAAAAGGTGTGATCAAAGGCATTCTTAATGACATTCCATTAAATAAATTGCAGGCCACTCTGGAAAAGGATAACCCACTGCTTCGATTAAATTACATATTCGGACTGAAGAGAAGAGACTCTGTTACAAAAAAATGGATTGACTCTCAGTCAGTCTGTCTAGAATTTAAAAGTCAAGATCTTCCTAGAAACATCAAACTCTGGAAAGTCAATTTATTTGTGCATCCATATGTTACTCCTGTAAGAAGATGTTACAAATGTGGCAAGCTGGGTCACACCAGTAAAGGATGCGAACAAGAACAAAACATATGTTTCAATTGCGGATTAGCACACCCTATATCCGTAGATATTCCGTGTAAGGAATCCCCCAAGTGCATTAACTGTAAAGAACCTCATCATACCTTAAGTAGAGGATGTCCAAAATTTGTATTTAATGCTGAAATTAATAAAAGAATGGCACTTGATAATGTCTCTTATATGGACGCAAGACGCACTCTATTGAAACAAAAAAAATCAAAATGAAATTCTCTTTATTAAAGATTTAAGGAACTTTCCATATCTCAACCCAAGGATAGAATCTTCAAAAACGCCGTTTTTTGTTGATATAATCAAGAGGACTTTCCCGACGACGATGTCAGCTGATCTTTCTTTAAAAATTAAGGATCTTCTGTTACGGATTTCTACTTCTCCGGATGCTGAACTTATCCTTCAAAAGATATCCCAGCTGGTTAATCTGCATAATAATTCTCAACAAAAAGACGATCTACAAACAGACAGTAAGAAAGTAAATGATTTAGTCTCTTAGAGTAATTAAATGGAATGCGAAAAGTTTAAAAAATAAAATTAATGATTTGGTCTATTATGCTGCAGATACTGATATTTTTATAATTTCAGAGACTTGGTTCCTAGAGATCAAATTACTTTTAAAGGTTTTGATATTGTCCGAAAAGATCGACAGGAGAGGGGGCGGAGTATTAATTATGGTGAGTTCAAATCTAAAATACAGCATTTTGGAAAATATCTGTCTTCTCTCTGACTTTACATGCTTCGCAATCAGAGTTGATTAGAGTGGTTGAGAGTTTGGATTCAGGTTTTCTTTTTTAATGTTTTGTAATATGATTCGATCAAGTTTGATAGAAGATCATTGTAGTACATGGACTTTTTGAAGTTATATCATTATATAAAATAATAAAACAGTATTATGTAACGAACTAATTAAATTATAAGACAAGATGTCTGAAGACGAAGTAGAAAGCTTTGAAATTACTGATTATGATTTAGATAACGAATTTAATATAAGTGCTCAATGCAAACTTTCGAAGAAATAACAAATGCTAGGTATGATATATCGAACATATTAAAATTATGTTATTAAAAACGAGAATTAAATAAGAGAATTGAAGTTTAATGACAATTATACAAGTATGAAAATTATATGCTTATATATATATATATATATATATATATATATATATATCTTTTAAGACTTTTAACAAGAGTCCTAAAGATTATACAGCACCAGTCAGTTTTGTTGCTGGTGGTATTCAACAAGCAGGGAAATCAAAAAATAAGGAAGATAATAATGACAAGGAAGATGAAGAGAAGATACAGAAGTTTCAATCAAAACATTACAGTGATTCTAGGTGACATTTAATATTTAACAGTATTTCTGGCATATTTTTCTGGAATATTTTTCTCTTATTTTTTTATTTACAAAATAAATTTATATTTTATTTTTTAGTTCAGAAGATGAAAGACCAAACAATTCGAAATCACATCCTTTCTCTTTGAATTTAAACAGTGATATTGCAGATCTCCATAAAAAACGCAATCAAATAAATTCACTATTAATGAAAGATGGAATAGGTAGTTGGGAAGTACATATGAAGGGTATAGGTGCTAAATTGTTATTACAGGTATTTTTTAAATAATGATCTTATATAAATTCCAGCAAAACACAGGATAGTAATAAATTTTTTTTATTTATTTAGATGGGATTTGAACCTGGCAAAGATTTAGGTAAACAATTACAAGGAGTAAGTATCCCAGTGAAAATACATCTCAGAAAGGGAAGAGGTGCAATTGGTGCATATGGTCCAGAAAAGGTACCAAAAATGCCAGAAAAAATAAAAAATGACGATGGAGAAGACATAAAAGAACACAAATCCAAAGTATCTCAATGGTGTAAGGATCATAATAGCAATAAAAAGAAAGTTAGATACTATTATAAAAGTGTCGATCAAATTTTGGAAGATGGAAAATTAAATAGAAAGCTTTCAATGTCCAGCGATATAAGCAGAGTTATTGATATGACAGGGCCAGAGCAAAGAATTTTCAATGGATATCATGCGATAGCTGGAGGTCAGCAATATCCTGATGAAATTGTGACTATGTCTGATAAAAAAATCTAAGATGAATTTTGCTTTGCCTAAATTACAGCATAATTTAAATTTACTTGTGGATATGTGCGAACAAGATATTATACAAAATCATCGACGAATGAGACATTTAAATGACATAATGGTTGCTTTAAAAACAGAAAAGAAGAACTTATTAAAAGTTGTGAATCAACATGAGCAACTTATTGATACTTTAGAGAATGTCTTTATGATTGTGGACAAGTTAATAAATGAAACAAATGAATTGTCTCTGCAAGAAACTGCAGAAGCTTTTAAAAATTTACAAGACAATTATTATGAGGAATATAAAATATACGAACTCGGCAAATTAGCCAATAGTTTTGTGGCGCCAAAAATAAGAGATTGTTTGCTTAGTTGGAATCCATTCTTGCAACCGAAACAACCAATCAAATTATTTGAACAGTGGAAATGTATTTTAGAAAGTGGATCTAGTAATATCACATTTCAAACACAGACTATGCATCCATACGATCAATTAGTATGGAATGCATGGATGCCATCAATTAGAGGAGCCATACAGTAAGTTATTCTCGTAATGAATTTTAATTATATGTCATAGTAACATCTTATTTTGGTGTACTGTTCAAAGTACTACCATAATATAGTATAATAAGCTACTACTATTATAATATAGTACTGCTATAATATATACTATTATAATATAGTACTGCTATAATATAGTAAATATAAGATTATACAATATTTTCGCATATATAATATATAGTATATATATTTTTTTACCATTTTTGTAGAACTACTTTATATGAAATCATGACATAAACTTCAATATTTAATTTCATCAATTAATAATTCATCATTTTTTTTCATGTATACATTTTATCGACTTCTGTTCAAAGAGTCATACGTGTAGGCGTGCCTGTTTATTTCACTACTGAAGCGTAGCTTTGAAACTTCTCGATATGGAAAGTTGCAAGCAACTCCCGCGGAATATATAGGGTAGGCCAAAAAGTATATATGAGAAATGGTCGTACATTTGATAAAATTAAAAAATGCTTGAAATATTTATTCTTGATTTGCGAAATCCTTTTCCCGACTAGCTTTCATTATAAATTTAATTAAAGTCATACAAGTTTTGAACAATCCTAATTAAAGAGATATCGATAAAATTTTGTACAAATATATTCAATACATGTACACAATTTTATCAAATACTATTATCAAAACCATATTCTTATTACAATTAAAACTAGATTCTTATTAATTAATTTAGTGGTTGGATATTTATCTAAAAAATATTTGTTTTTATATAATTTATCAAACTTTATTGTAAACATCTAATTCTAAACATAAATTACAATTTGATGTCATTTCTTTATATAATTTTTTAAAAATATACTTTAGCTATAAATTATATGTATGCAATAAAAAATAATATAAATTATCAATAATATAAATTATCACACATATCTTATCGTTTAAAAATACAATGTGACATATCAATCGAAAAATACATTTATTTTTTATCGACTAGTGATTTATATATGTATACATATATAACATAAAAGCCGGAACACATACAAGAAAAGGAAAGTTTATAAAATTATAAAGTATATAAAATTAAAATATATAAAATTTATCCGGCTTGATAAATAATTTAATAATTGAATTAAAAACATAATTGATTTATATTATATATTTATATTATTTTTTCTTTTAATACCATTTGGCTTTTTAAACAATATTGAAAAGAGGAATTCTCGACGCCTATGGATATGAGGACACCGACGCGACACTATTCCTTAGCTGTTCAAAGTGGTCCTGCAAAAGAGGCTAGACATCTCTCTCGCCTACACGCCTAGTAGATCCCGTCGGGTGTCGAGAATGCATTTGCATCAGATCGAAGAGTCCCTGCCTAGTAAACGTGCGGTTGCAATTGCATCTAAACGGTCCTTGCACTCTCGTAAATATGCGAATGCTGGTCCAAGGTGTCACGACACACCGATCAACATCAAGATGTTGCATAAATATTCTATATATAATATTTATTTTAGAGAAATTGTTTTTGTTGTATCAAAATTAATATCTTCTTATTTTTTAAGAACAAAGTGTACATTTTTTATAAAAATAATATAAATAGGAAATATTTCTATATAGACAACATATATTTTATTTCTATTTCAAAAAATTATTAATTATTTTACATTAATAATTGCAATTAATATAATAATTTAGAGAAGTTTATTATAAAAAATCTCAAGTTGAGATTATTTAATTACAACTTTATTACTTGGTTTTATAACAAGAAAAATTTATGCATACATCAGGTTTAATAAAAAATTTTAATTTTCCTTAAAATTAACGCATTATCTAGCTTTTGGTAGGCCTCTCCTCTCTGTTAAAATTTAAACTTATATAAATAATTATTATATATAGAATTATTATTTAATAATATATTATTAAAAGTGATGCTAATTGCAGTGCATTCAAATTTAATTATATATCATGAATATAAATCGATATAAAATAATATAATTAATCTAATATATATATATATATATTCTTGTTCTAACTCTCGTTAGAGAGAAAGAGAAAGAAAAAAAAGATTATTATTAGTTTATGTCTGTTAATGCCATTTGACAATTGGTTTGCAGCTTTTAGTAGCAGCAACTTTTATCGGCGAAACAATTCGTTTAATTTTCGATTTTTTAAAATTATTGCCATATATGATTATAATATCAAATAACGAACATAGACTATATATACATAATTGCATTTCTAACATCGAGAATAAGTCGCGGAATGCATCGTTGTATTGTACTTTTCTACGTCATTTTAATTATAATAATTTGCAAAATAAAAGTTTAAAAGCTTAAAAGTATGAAATTGTAATTTGCGTAAATTATTCTTTAAAAATCGATGGTTCAAAAGAACCACAATGTATAACGCACACTCGTGTTAAAACGCGATCGAGCCCCATAGGCATTCCAATCCCACGCGAATCGCCGTCTCTAAGTCCACGCATAAAACGCCAAGTATTGGTGAGAAAACGCGTCGATAGTTTTAAAGTTGTGATGTGCAAATCGATACACGCATTACTTTTTACAATATTCTTCCAAAATTCTTGGCTGTATATACTTGTCACCAGGAATATTCTAATATCTGCAATTACATATATTTAGAACATATTTAGATATTCGTGCTTCATAGCTATTTATTTAAAAAATGAAAACTGTATTTTTTATTGGCAATATTTAATTTAATATTATACAAATTATATTGTTCATATTATGCGTAATCTTCTATACACGTCAAATCTAATCAGATACTCAAAGTGTTACAATTTTGAGTTACATCACCACAACTAGATTATGCATAAAATTTCATTTCAGTTTATATCGCGGATTACAGTAGTTTTAGTTTTTATTGTAAATATTTGCAAAATTATTCATCAGATCTACCAGTATCTAATCTGTAAAAGAGCGAGGAGATTGTACTTCCATGTTACATTCGAATCAAAGTATCTAAATCGTTAGTATTGGTTCAATTTGTAGCGCTTACGCAATTTACAATCTCTGTATTTTTTAAAGTGCGAAATGACTGATTAAATTTGCGCAAGAGTCGAACAAATTCGATGTGTGATTTACAGGATTAGATATTCTAAGGAATACATGCCCATGGCTTAACTCATTGCCGGCATTCACGTGGGCGTCGAATAAAGATTCTCTTAAGACGCAAGAGGTTTACGTTTACGCTACATTGTAAGGAGATACAAAAGAATGTTAATATGCGAGTGTGGTACCGCTATGTGCTATTTATAAATGATCAGCCTCGTGACAGGTATGTGTCACATTTTTAAACAGACAAGTTATTTCCATTTGTTTGCGCTCTTAACGTCGATCAGATTTTATTTCTCATAGAAAATCTGGTTAAATTATTATCTAAACTATTTATTTATATCACAGGAAATTAAAGCGAAGCGATTTCATTAATTTTGACACTGCGATTTAACAATTGTTTCCGAAAAATTTCTGAAAAAGTAATAACGTGAACAGTTTTAAACAATGATAATTTTCAATGTTTTCGGATTATGAATATTATTATTTTATAAAACTATGTATAAAGAGGTAAAGAGAGAAATAAAAGTTTTAAAAAAAATTAAAATCAGAACTAAATTAAAATTAAATATAATTAAATTAATTAAATAGAAATATTAACAATTGATATGTTACTTCTTTATTCATTATGAATCGACTGTTGTCCATTTTTAACAGATAAATTGTAACTTATTTGTTATGTTCAATCGTCATCGTTACATTAGAGAATCCTGACACGTTTTCGTCTACGTTTCAATATTTCATAACGAACATTATTCATCTATTTTGAAATGCCGTGAATCGATTCGTTTAAAATGTTTAATAATGACGTGATTAGAGTTATCCTATTGCTGATTTCGCAAGTTAAATTTTTTTATTCTCGTTTTTATTCTGTTTATGAAGATAAATTTAATTTAAAAAATTATTTTAGAAGAAGAAGAAACAAATGCAATTAAGGAAAAGAATGAAAGAAAAAAATACACAGAAATCATCACGCATAAAACAAGAACAAGAACAAAAAAACATCACGAAGAGGTACGGAAATTATTTTTCGGTCTCAGAAACCAAATATCACTATCCGAGAAAGTTAACAGGTAATTTAGAAGAAAAATCAAGATTATTATCACGGATGAAAAGGGATATATGTCTCTGTTTGTAGACTGGTAAGAAATCTAACGCGGCTAAAATGCAATGCACGTGATATCCAAGCTTGCTTCCACCACGCGATCGTTACCTATCTCTACCTCTATCTACCTCCTTTGACTCTCTTTTCGCATTATCTGGAGGGCCTCCCAAGTTGCAAGTGCAGCCGTAATGCATGGAACTTATATCGTTGCACGGGCGCGCGCTTATGCGCGAATCGCTCGGGATAGTCGGAATGGGTCGTGATTTGTATCCGTAAGATACAAATGCAACTGTTCCGTATCACGCCAGCATGAAGACTAGTAATAGATTATGAAGTCTTACAAATGTCTTGATGAACAAAAAAATATTCCATCCACATAAAACAAGAGAATAAAAAGAGATGCTCTTTCTCTCTCGCATATCTTTTTTTCATAGAAGCAATATAGTATTTTCTAAAATAATAATATTAAAATAGTAAAATAATAATATTATATAATATTTCTCCACAACATATACATATAATGTTTTAGAGAAAAGCAATCTGTTTATTAGAGTGAAACTTTTCCTTTCGACCACTTATAATTTATTTTTATGTCAGGTTCTCTTAAATATGTTTTCGTCGCTTTCTCCAGATCCTCTTAAGCGTGTCAAATCTTTGAACGACTGAATGAAATGGCTTCTTCTCTCGCCCACGCGTCATGTTCTAAACTGCTCTCCAAACACGTTATCAACGATGTACCTTCTCTTCCTGCTTCCTCAAGCTGCAAATGAGCCCTAAACGCATCGCGTCCAGATCGCATTTCCAACCAAATCACTTCAATTGATAATATCATGATGCTTTTATACGGACACATGAAAAGAAGTCATCAAAACGAGCACGAACGAAGAGAGCACCCGGTGTATTGAAGCGCATAACAGGTGTGACTCGTGTATATGTGCGGTACTTATGCGAATAATCTGACTCGCTCTGAGCTGGCAGGTGTATATGTTGTCCGTCCTGGATGTGCGTCAGCATGAGAGTGATAAGAAAAAGAAACGTAATGAATTATTATGTCGCTTGCGTATTATTATTTTATCTCACACGCTTTATGAACTTTCGTAGATTTCACATCGGAGATATCGCATCTATGCGTAGGAAACTTCTCCTAGATCTCGATGGAATTTCTCGCGTCGCGACACGACGAACGTTTAGTTTAACTATGCTTACCGTTAACCGACGTTGATGTAACTAGAGAAATTGATCCTCGCACTATCACATCTCCGATGTGCCTACTTGTTCTCGTTCGCCAACTGTTATTGACAGATTTTTACTATACCTATATCGATGAGATACGAGATATAATTATCGAGGATATGTTCTCGATATTAGTAATTTCATTCAAAACAAAGATGAAAATTTACCATAATTTGAGATCTTTTTTCTTTACGTTTTATCTTCTTCCGAAAGTATAGTTATAGAAACAATTACTAAACCGCAACGTTCGAAGTTATCGGAATCGTACCGTTATTTGCTTTTCTACTCTAGTCAAGTATACAATCCTTTCTAAGCAAGAATTCGCTTTCGACTTGACGAGCGCGTTCGCCATTTCCATAATTTTCTCTCGAAATTCTTTGCGAATTTAAAACCTGCTTGATGGAATAATTTTTTATCATCGCAATACGTTGCACTCGTAATTTTTTTTCTATCTCAAGAACGATCGCGTGGAATATCGCATTTCTTTAAAAAAAGTTTATTTAAAACGTTTATTTTCTCATTCCGTTGCATTCGCGAGAAATTGCCGCGTAGAAAGGAGGAGGGAAAGAAAGGGCGAGTCGGAGTCGTCTAGTTGCGGGTGATTTTCTGCGGCCCTTTAATCGAGAAAAGGAGGAATGCGTGGCGACGCAGCGTGCGTAATGAATAATGACATCTGGTCGGCAAAGGGCGGGGCTAACAGGTCCCACGCGATCTCCTCCTGGTGCACGGCTGCACCAGACTGCACATATAGACCTTCGACTCGTTTCTGCACGCTTAAGCATTCGCATACACTCGATTTAAAATGATCAGCATCGACTTTTGTCAAGCGAGTCTCGACGATTCACGAGGATTCACCGGAATCACAAGATTCCGAAAATAATTCCGAAAGATATGACAGAGTCTCAGAATCTCTCATAGAATGGTCCTCTTAACACAATTTCTTTAATAAAATTTGAGAGAATCTTTTCCCAAAATGTGTCAAGGAAAGTCATTATGTTATTTCGATTTTTAACATGTGTATATTTTTATAATTAATTTTTAATTAAACATGATAGAATATTTCAATTTTAATTTCTAAAATTGAAATTATACTATACATATTATTGATGATGAATTACATTATTGCATCAAAGATTTAGTATATTTATCATTTTATTGATTATTATAATTTCTGATAAAAATAAATTTTTTACAAAAATTATTCTTTAAATCAAGAAGCCATTCTAATATTAAGAATATTGCAATGAATGAAATAAAGTTAAATAATTTGAAGATCCTTCGTGCTAAATCGAAAATATAATTCTTTATGTTCCTCAAAAATATAGAAATGTCATTTACTGTAAATACAACAAGTATGGGAACGATATATTGCATAACGATAAGAACACGAAAGTGGATTGCTGTGTACAATAAAATTATAAATTTATGTCATACCGTAGACACGGCACAAGAGACGCGTGCATGTCGCGTTTGCGATACGCTTGCGTTACCGTGTTCGCTAAATATGGTATAAGCATATATATATTTTACAATCATAGAGAAACGAGCGAGTGCATTACACGCCGCGAGTTTTGTCACTGACATCTGAATCGTAATTGCATACGAAATATAATATCGTAGCGAACGTACGCTATGATCGTTTTCCTAAAATGAGAATGCGCCTTCTAAGGGAACGATAGACTCTATTAGGACGTCCAACATCGTCTACTTACAGAAATGAGATCGTTGTGTAACAATCTAATAGCGCGTCCGTGTAGATTTGCCAGTGTACTTTCAGCAACGATCAAAATTTGTCTCTGGTTTTGCGAATGCTCGATTGCTATCACATGTCCATGTCTAGGATTGCAAATTACACATGTGCTCGCTCTCGTAGAGTCTATCGTTCATTCTATAGGTATTTCGATGTGTTTCGTTGCGGATCTTGCAATTTTCGCGACAGCAAGAACCGGCTCATCGACCGTAAAATTGCAATTAGTAACCGGGAGAGGAGGAACTTTGCAAACCGCTCATCGACGCTTTATTTTTGCTACGATGGTATAAAACACGCTGCGTCAGCCGACCCTCCGTATGCGTGCACTGCGTTTAATCCAGGCACGTACGCGGGCGTGCAAACTGAGCGTTCTAAGATTCCGCAGACGGGACAAAATTGTAGCTTCAACTTGTGGCCTTCTTTGGTGCGACTACGTGGGCGCATTTCCTCCTCGAACGGAATTGCACTCCGCACTTATTCTATCTTAAGTCGATCGTTTCGTCGTAAGCGACCGACGAGTTTCACTATCGTAAACCGTGACTGCTGGACTATCCGGTTTACATAATTACACGTCGGTCCCCGACCGACATTAATGTGTCCGGAAATGCTCCGCGGATTTCTCTGTAATCGGCAATTCGTAATAAAAAACGAAAATTATCGTTCTGCGAAAAGTTATTTTAATTTTATACAGATTTGACATATATATATATATATATATATATATATATATATATATATGCATATGGGAAGAGCGAGAGGGAAAGAAGAAATGAATGTAAATATTATAGAGATAAAATATATAGAATTTCTGAAATAAATTGAAAGAGACTCTCTCTCACAGAAAATTTAATCAGAAATTTTACAGGAATTTTGCTAAAAACATATCTCTTGCAAACATAGTTTGTTGAAACGATATCGTTCTATTTTAGAATAGAAATTAATTTTCTATTACAATGAAGTAGTTTAAAGAAAATTATTGATTATTCAGAGATTCAATAAAATTATTTCTAGCATATGTAATTAAAATTTTTTACAAATCTTTCTCTCATAGGATAATTAATAAAATTTGACAATATGTTATCTTTTTTTTCTGTAAACAAACAGCGTATTTATAGTTTATATAAAACATAATTGATTCTCCTGCCCTGATTATTGCTCATATCGATGCTTTACAAGAGATCTCTTTACGAGAAATCTTTAATGTCTCAGGGAAGGAAAATGAGATTAGACAGGTGGAACAGTTTGACAACTGGACTGGGCGCGGTGCATAATAATTCTGTTGCAATCAATCATACATTTGACTATATTATCTGTGAATCGAAAGTAGGTTGTGTGTTAGGAAGCCACAATATAAGCGGTGGCTGTTACGCGTTGTTGCTACATACGAATGATATAATTGCGGCTTTGCTGATTTATGCTGCGTATTGACCGATCCACGGATAACCGACGACGACCAGCGGCACGCCGATTGACTCATTATCGGACAGTTTTGCGAAACGCGTCCGGAGAACCGGACGAATGCAACGGCCGCTAATAGCCCGCAAAAAGTTGCGTAAAATGTGCTGCAGCTTATATCTTAGTAACAGTTCTTACAAACCGGACAGAGTATATAATTTTTTCGATTTATTTGAAGAGTTAATTCTCCCCGAACGAAATATCTAAACCCGAATTTTTTAAAAATGTACACATTATAAAGCTATGTTTATTTAAAGCGTTATTATTATCTTATTATTAAGCTTATTATTATCTTATTATTAAGCAGTTATTATTATCTTATTACTAAGTGTATTATTAAATGTATTATTTTATTACTAAACGTATCACTTATATAATTCGCGAAAAATGTGTTCATGTTTAGCAGAACATGTGAAGATAAAAGAATATATACACATGTAGAATGAAGAGAGAGATAAATTTAATTTATAAAACATAACTCGCACAAAAGAAGAAAAAAAATATTACGAGCATAGAGAAGTTTTCAATTTTTATTTTATTATATGATAAATGTGGACAATATATATGATAATTTTATACGATATTGCCGCTCGCTTATCACATATATAATTATATGTGATAAGCGAGCGGCAAAAATTTCGCGGGTGCACATATTATAACAAGTTGCAAGAGGATGTAAGAATAAAGAGATCGACATCGATCGTACGCGCTGGACTCGGCTCCTTCGACGAAAACTCATCTCTCCCCGATTTGCGGTCGGCCGCATCCGCCCGCGCACTGGACCGAACGAGACGCGACGCGACCGAGTATCTCCGAGCGTCGGCGGAGGCGCACGAGTAGTCGGCTCGAAACGCGCTCGCGCGACGGATCGGCCGCGCGTTTAACCTGCGCTCTCCTCTCGCTCTGACACGCGCATCGAGATACGTCGTCGCGTCGAGAGATCTTGGCATCTCCGAATCGGAAGTACACTCATTCTCTCTCTCCTCCTCCCCGCGTATATCCGGTCGCGGTCTTTATCCCGCGATCGAGCGCATTTTCGAAAAGAGGCGCCCGCGAATCTGTCGCGCCTCGTCGAGATTCGTCGTGCTTGAGCGCGTTTTTAAAAATACGCGCGCTCCCCGCGTCGCAGTGAGATCTCGTCGTCCTCGAGGGGATATCATTTGGAGGAAAACGGAGACAAGTGTCGCGCGAAAGTGCAAAGTGTGCATGATTCCCGGACGACGCGCTCTATCGAATTCCGAGTATATTGACACCTACCGAAGAGGGTGAACGACACGCGATCGAGCGCGACACATCGTGTTCGAGGCGTCGGATGGACCGAGCGTAGCATCCTTGGAAAGAGTGCACGCGCCGTCAACCGATCAGCTCGGGAATAGCGAGATACGAAGGAAGCGGCCTCCATTCGCAGACGACACCTTGACGAGGCTCGTTATGGATTCCCACCCGATGGTGAGCGATCTATTATCAGATTTATTATAATGCGACAACAATTACTCTTCCTACTTTAATACTTATCAACGTGATTAAATGGAAGATCGTTTTGCAAAAATCGCAATATTCTACATAAGGAGATATTAATTCCCTCGCTTTGCATATTAACTCGGTGAAGCGAGTCGTTGAAATCACTGATTGTGAGTCATATCTCGGATTGTGCGACGTGTTCCGTGAAATTCGATCGTATCCGGCATCATGTGTCGCGTAAACGCCGAAAGAAATGCGTCTCTCCTAAATTCACTTTACTTGGAACAGGTTACTTTTCAAGTTATTACTCGTTGCACGATAGCACATATACATGTGTATTAATTTCATATACATATATATTATAATTATTATATCATAATATATTAATCTCTAAAGATATAGAATATATTTTAATTTGGAATTAATTTTAATTAATCTCTAAAAATATACTATTACAAATTACTATCTAACGATAATAAATAACTCAATTATTTCAAGACATTATTAAAAAGAAAAGGAGATAAATAAATTGGCGTGTAAATTTTGAATTACATACTTTGCTGTATCTAAAAAGCGCGCGAAATATGTGGATCGATCGTTTCATAAGCTAGCGATGAAGACATTTGTCATTATCGCGAGCAAGAATTCGATCGAGCCTGCAGACGTTATTATGTCATCAAGACTAATACGCACAATGGACGCGTAAGTATCGACCGGCGCATATTTCTGGCTCGTACTCTCATAACCGCGAACGGAATGAGAATGGCCGTCGTAATTTACGATCCCTGGAAAAGATTATTATGATCAGCGGGTTTGTGCGTCGTTTGTCGCGATTAATCCGATGCTATGCAAAAACAGTTCGGGTCGTGAAAAATTGGCGACTCTCCAATTAATGCGAGAGCACTGTTCATTAATCGTTGAATTGAGGTGCGAGAAAATGCGAAACAAAAATATCGAAAAATCTGCAAATTCGAGGAGTTAAAAGAACGAGGAAAAATGTTAATAAAGAATCATAGCACGTATCTTCGAGTTTTCAATTTTCTAAGTATCTTTGTAATTAATCTGTAATTGGTTGAGAAAATTTGATATAATTGAAGGTGATAGATATCTCTCATATTCCTTATTATTTTTTTTTATTAATTTCTTTCTAGATTTTTTTTATTAATTTGTTAGAAAAAGTAATATTTTAAATGATTTATAGTTATTATTATTTATAATTACTTATATAATTATTTTATTTTAAAATAAAATAAAAAATAAAATAATAAAATAAATAAAATAAAATAAAATAAAATAAATATCTTTCTATTTAAGTAATAAAAATTCGAATTCTAGGATTCAAGAAATCTTATGATTGTTCAAATTATAAATTTACTCAAAGAGAGAAATCAAGTCTAGTCAGAAAATTATAACATTGATATTTTTTTTTTTATTATTATTTTTTTGGCAAAGATAAAATTAAAAGCAAAATTATTAAGCATCGCAAATGATTGAAATTATCGGAATGACATCGATAGCTTATTATTAGTATAAATATGATCATTTAAAGATATATTTTACATTGACAACAATATTTATTGCATTTTTTCGTAATAAAGATGAAAGAAGAAACGGGAGATGCTTCTCAATGAAAAAATTCTTAATGATTTTTATCACTATGCACAATGTATAGATTATCTCGTGCACATATATTCGCCCTAATGACGACAGTCTCCAGCCTCTAACAAAGGAATAATCGTTGAGACGAGTAGGGAAGGTCAAGATCGGGCTTATTCACTTCGAAAATGGAAACTCGCGCTCGCGCTACGGCGCAATTAATCGCCGGGGCCTTCGTAACATCCGCGGACGGAGAGCTCATAACCGCGCAGAAATAACCCGCAGGAATTTAACGCGCGCCACTCGCGCCGCGGGACTGCAGTCTCGGACTCGACGATGAGGTCTTTGGGTTAAGTATCGGGGATAGCGATCTCTCGACCGTGGGGCATTAGCATAATCTTTTAACGCGCGCGTTCGTCTCCTCGAGAGAGAATTCACTTGCGCCTTGTGCTGGAGTATCGGCCGGCTCTCTGCAGTTACATACGTTACATTCGCATTAAACGTGCACCATCACCGGTCTTGTCGTCTTCAGCGGCGCGCCGACTATTATTTCGACCTTACCGCGCATTCCTCTCCGCGATTACTACCTGGTTTTTGCTTCTTCCTCGCGGCGAAGTCCTTGGAATCGCGGATGAAGTCATTACGAGTAGGGGAGAAATGGTGCCCCGGCGAAATCGTTCGCTTCTTTTTTTTAATGTCAATGCACATTGTTGTCATTATGCGCACATCCGATATGACTCGAACTTGCACATGTATGCGTATATGGTGATGATTGTAAGGTTCGACTATACAATTAAAGATTGAGATTAAGATCGCATTAAAAATTGAAGATTATAGGACTGAAGGATTCAATCTGAGTCGTATAAGTTGCTGCGACCTACAGTTGCGATTAATGTCTTACAATGTTTCGTATAATGTTCTATTTTCTTTTCTTCAATTTTTATTTATCATAATTTCTAAGATTTTGTTGTCTTATAGATTATTAGCAAAACATTCTTTGGATTTTTTCTATAATTATCTTATCTTTTCCATCCTGTGCTAAAGAGTCGCAATCAATATATATAGCTATTGAATGATACGAAAATTCAATTAATCTCTGTGAAAAGTTTTTCTTCAGTTTATAATTTCACAATATTTATCTGTTTTATTCTCATTTGTCTAAATTTTCAGTGCACGCTCTTAATTCATTTTCAATTTTTAACATAATTCAAGATTATTAAAATATGACAGGTATTGGGTATCCTTTCTCTTGACATAGCAGTTTAATAGCGCAATTTTACATATACGTGCGATTCTTTCATAATTTAACGTGAATATATTTTAATTTCAACGCGTGGGTGGCCGATTATCGTTGCATCTTCATTTGTCGCTCTATGTTTCTCGAAAACATGATTCATTTCTGGAAGGGAAAACTTACGACTTACGGCACATATAGGACACATCTGAGATCCAGAATAATTTATGATAACTTTCTTAAAACGGTGATCGAATATACTCTGAAGCGTGCGCATAAATGAGAATTGATTATGGTCTGGCGCACGCGTGCGTAAGTATCTGAAAAAGCAACGAGGCTGTTTAAGCCGATGCGTGCTGATTGCCGGTCTCGATTCCGTCCTACGACGCGTAGATGGTCCCCTAAAGATTATATAAGTACAAACAACACGATATCGCAACGCCAGGAGATTTACGACGATCAAAATGACAAGTGGATGCCGGTATAACGAGGCTTAAAGTGTTATTTGATGTAACTTCATAATGAACGAAAATACCTGAATGACGGAAAATCACTGTTTATTATGCGTACATTGCACTATAAGAATATTCTGCAATAAAGATGACATGTATTGTGTCAGATAATTTAATATGTTTGAAAAAATATATGTATTAAAATTTTTAATATGAGATATATATATTTATATCTTAATTTATTATATGATTTAAATATGTTTTTGACGCGTTGCGAAGAAAAAGTATATTAATAAAGTTTAAGGTACTCGTAATATTTTTGCACTGTAATCGATCGAATACATATTCTTAATAAGTACTACGCATATTAATTATTAAGTCCTAAATATTTTACATAACATAGAAAATTCAGAAATGACACAAATGATTTCTTTTTATTTTTGCGATAAAATAATAATATAAAAAATGTGAATTTTATAAACGAGAAAATTCATAAACTTTGTCTTCCATTCGCCTTCTATTTTGGAGGAGTGTGCAACTTTACATCGAATTATCTTTGCAATCAATTTAGGCATTCCGCAAATAAGTATGAGCTAATGAGAAGGAGTGATCAGTGCAATTTGTGCAATGTAATGTGCACGGAATAATCCATAAATCGCATGATTCTCATGGACGGACAGTGGAATATTGATCGTTTTAGAAAGTACAGTGTTTCAAAAGCAAGACAGAGAAACAGCTGTGGGATAATTGGCACTGATATATCAGACTCGATCTCCCGTGATTGCTCGTGCAATCATGCGCGTGAACCTGTTAATTTATGAACTTTAACACGAAGGCAAGCACGTACAAAGTGCGTACTTAATTAAGCCGCGAATCATAAGCTGCGCATTTCGAGATATAAGGATGTTGGTCGCATAACGAGTTTATCATGTTTTTATTGTAACGCGATTTTATATTTGCGCGATTAATTTCATAAATTATATTAAAATTACTTCTAACTGCTAAAAAACATTATCTTACAAAATCATACTTCAGTAAACGGTAGTAAATTAGTTGATTTAAAAAAAATAGGTTTCATAGAATTTTAATTTGTTTCGATTATTATGGTTTATATCTAGTACATACAGATATTTTTTACATAATATAATTAACAATTATTTTTAATATCTAATAATAGCAAACTTGTGATGGAAGAAACATAGCAAAGCACGATAATTTCATTTGCAACCACATCGTTTCGCTAGCGTTATTCTTTCTTCGAGTGAATATTTTTATCGTTCCCGGTTTAAATGTTTAATTCTTTCATTCCTAACTTTTTTGAATACTTGAGATTCTTTGACGATCTTAAATCTATCACGCGTGATAGAATTACAATAAAAGATCCATCATTAATGATTATTTTTTTTCTGGTTAATCGGTAACTCCATTATATTTTTTGGGAAGGAATTATATATTATAAAATTGTATATTATATTATAATTGTGTCATAATAATACAGTATACATATTAATATTAATAGCATATAGTTTTTTACTTTGAGAAAATTTTAAGATTTATCATTAATGATATATCGATATTATTCAGATATAGCTTGTAAATACTTTAACAATTTTGTGCGAAATCGCACAAATATTTAAACATAATGCACAACACAAAGGTGTTCTGAGTATCTCAAAAAATGATATAAGTTATATACCTTCAAATAT